ACGGATCTCTAAAAAAATCAAATTTCATACCATGTGATAACTTTTTTAGATATCCATGCCAAATTTAATGGTGATTCTTTGGGGTCCTACACACATGAGTGGGGGAAAGTCCTATAGGATCATTACTCTCATTTAAAATATTTATTATTGAAATAGTGACCACTTAAATATATTATTATTATATTATATTATCATCTCAATATATTAATTTTATATCGCATTACTATAACAAACTTATATTTTATCATGATATGTTTAATATTATAATATATTATTAATAGAAATAAATATATTATATTATTATATAATTTTTATATTTAGTTGACCCCAATTAATTGAGATAAGTTTTAGATGATGATGTGATAAATATTATAATTCTGATATTATATTACATCATTATATTATAGTAATATTATCATAATAAAATAATACTATAATATCAGAATAATAAAAATAAAATAATATCATATTGTTATTTAACAATAATAACATAATTACTACAATATATAATTATATTGTTATTTAATAATATAATTAATGTAATAACATATAACAATTATAATAACAACAATAAGGATAGTTACAAAATACAATAATCATTAATAATAATAATAATAGTAATACCAATAATTATTACAATGATACTATTATTATAATTATAATGATAATAATATTATAATACTATACCATTAAATTTTTTTTTTGAACTTTAACCCTGAGATTTCATTCAAGAACGAAAGAATACGTAAAGGTAATACCAAGAAGGAGGTTTTTTAGCTAAGGTGAGTGTGATCGCCCTTTTGCAAGAGAGGGGGCGCTATACTAGGTGGGCTTGAGTAGGCTAAACTAGGCCCTTATGGGCTTGGTTAGATAAGTTCGTATGGGCTAGGTTAGGGGGGTTCGTGTGGGCTAAGTTAGGACAATTCGTATAGGCTATGCTCACTGTAATATCATATTCTTACTAATAAAATAAGGGTGCGGTTTGTAGAGAGCCAAGGCTCTAAACAATCACAATAAAACGTTCCTTCAAATAGTATCGAGAAAGGTGGTTTCAATATTGAAAATCTTTGTGATAGCCTTAAAATATATTTCCATATTTAATTATAAAATTTAAAGCTTCAAAAATAGTGTAGATTGAGAAGATCTATGAAAACTTAAAAATCTTGAAAATTGACTGTCCAAATATGTGCTACAAGATGAACTATTTCCAAAACTTTGAAATCCATTTTTTTTCTCATGTCCATGCATCTTGATGTCGAGATGATGAATTTGAGGTTATTTGGGCATCAAAACAACCTCTTCTAGTGAAAATTTGGAGGTGGGCTATAATTTGATTGGTTAGAGCTTTGACTCTATATAAATTTTTTCCATAAAATAATACTATAATATAATTAAAAATATATAATTAAGATGTGAATGTTTGAATGATGGAATGAATGAAATTCAAGTTTGCTTTGACTTATTTTATGCTAATTTTTTTTAAATATTTTTAAATACCATTTTGCTACTATAGTACTCGGGCCGAGTTAATCGGACACTGGTTGTGTAATCGACTTAGGCCTGGGCCAGGTACCAGCCCAAGTCCCTCTTTCCAACAGTGCATTGTATTACAACTATAGGCTGGCGCCTTTTAAACTTCCTTTACCTATACATTTTCATTCCCCAGTACTTCCTTACTCTTAGTCCTTTCTCTTGTTATGAGCCCTTGCTCTTGGTCCTTTAAGGATGCTTGATTCGATTTAAGGTTCCATAACTCAACTTAGGCCTCAGACCCATCCCTGGCCAGAACGTAGTAGTCAAGTTACTCGGTCAAGTCTAGCTGGACAAGGTGGCCCAAAAATTCAAAAAGAACTCTAAAAAGTTAAAAGCAATTAAAATCAGCAATAACTAACATAAGTAAAATAATTATTAAAAGTCTATAAAAGATGAAAAATTATACAAATCATGGATTATAGGAAAAAAATAGAAATAAGGATTTATGCCTTAAAATATTTCAAAAAAATCAAAACAGGAAAAACAAAAAAATTGAAGCATATACTATGGAAAGTTAACAAATCATCCAAAAAAAACCTAAAAAGTCATTTAGAAATATATTTCTAAATCATATGGGGTACCGATTTTTATGATTTTTAATAGATTTTTACAAAGCAAGTTAGCCATATAAACTTACCTCGGCTGAGTGCCCAAGTCGAGTCACTTGACCAACTCCAAATGGTCTACGCCGACTCTCAAAACATCCTTCCAAACAATTAGGACCTTCTTTCATGAGAGACAACCATACATTTTTTTCTCTGATCTTTTTCTTGAAGAGGTTAACTAAGCTTTTATGTATTTAAAATGCTTTTAGTGATTAGAGTAAATTTTTGCTCTAATCTTTATTAGAATTTTCAAAAATACTTCGAGTTGACAAGGTCCGAACCTACTATTGGAATTAGATGCTTTGCAAATTAAATTAGGGAATTTCCATATTGAATAAGCTTTCTACCAAACTTTGGTGGTGTTATATGGACCTTCTCCTGATTGGTGGTGATATGAGTTTGCTTTCTCCTCTGTTATTTCTAGAGTTGTTGGAATCCAACTTGAGGGGTAGCATTGCTGAGACAAACAACTAAAACACTCAAGCCCAAGCCTGATTCAAGCTGAATTTCTCCTTTGGATGTAATCACCATGCTCACCAATCACAATATACTTTCTTAGAGCTGGTGTGCCTTGGCTCTTTGCTGTTTATCACCAACTCTTTGCTTATTCCCTTGATTTTGGTGTGTGCTCTTTGAGATTGATTCTTGAATTTCCTGTTTTTTTTGGATCTTGTTACTTCCTTCTCTCTTTTCTCTGTCTTAATATATTGGATAATCTGTTTCTCATTGTTGCTCATCACAAGAGACTCGTCTTTTTGTTTATTTTATTCTTACTCATGAATTTCTCTATGCTAGTAGAGTTTCAGTGCCACTAAAGGTGCCAATGCAATGACAAAATTTGTCCAAAAACCCTAGAATTGTTAAAAACAAAAAATCCTTAAAAATAAACTCTAAGCTAAAACTATAATTTACATCCTTTAAAGTTGAATAGAAATACAAAATAAGAATGATTTTGCCCTCCATCAACCGCCCACTAGACTAGTCTAGAATCTGAAAAAATTTAGGAAAAAAAAATATAAATGAAGGAAAAGACTAAAACATAATACAAAGTCATATTTCCTACGTTTTCATTGATGATTTTTAAAAATTAAAACAAATGGAGCATGGATTAATGGCAAGGTTATTGAGGGTAGGATACGTGATTGGCTTTTCTTTTCTTTTTTCTTCTCTGTTGGGTGGGGGAGGGGGGCTAAGTTTAACATAAAATACCTAAGAGATGAACTACATAACACCTTCTTTCTTTTTATTTTTAGGCGTATTTTGATAATCAAAGTCAAATGTTAAAATTGAAAATTTTGTTGTATTTTGATAAAAAAAAAAAAATCTAATAATAAATTTAAAAGAAATTGAGTTTCTATTGGCTCGATGAACTCGACTCCTCTTGGCTTGGCATGATCAATTAACTGGCCGGACCGGGCCACAAAGTTAAGAAAAGCTTGACCTCTTTTTATGTGGTCTAGGCTTGGTCGGTCCTCGAGCCAGCCGTAGACCCGGACCGTCCCCACCACAAATTAAAGATGAGCCTATGATATGGCCACCAAGATGTGAAAATGATACTCCAGTACAATTTTTTTTTTTTTTTGGGTGAATTTAAAAGTGGTATGACGGTGGATATTTGAGCTCCTACTTTTTAGTGAGAGTGGAGTTAGAGATCTCACCATAAAGCTCGGCAATACTCATGGAAAGGCCCTAAGCCATTCTCAGTACAATGTTTATTTCATTTATTCCAAGACGAAAACCAAATTTCTCAATAAACGAATATTACATTCCTCAACCTTGTGAATAGTAAGCCATGTCGAGTTTGCTGGGAAAGTATATAATACAATTTTTCACTATCAATACAAATTGGTCACAACTAACTTTCGTTGTTGGGTGCGAGATCGGCAATTCGGAGGAACCCATCGACTCAACTCACATTCCTAATAAAACCATTTGAAATTTGTATTATAACCTAAGAGGAAAATTACAAAAAAAAAGTTGAATTATTTAACATTTAACCCTTTTACAAGTATTCCGATGCATGATTATATATTTTACAGGTAATTTTAGATGGAAAAAGTTTATATAAGGTTGCAACTTTAAAATGTAGAATTACAGATGCATCGCAAAAATCAATTGGAAAGGTTTTCTAATGTTGAAAAACTCTCTAATTGATCATCTCGATATTGAGATGTATGAATATGAAAAATAAAAGGTTTTTGAGTCTCGAAAATAGTGAATCTTGCAACATATTATCTAGACCGTCAATTTTCAAGATTTTCATATATCTAGACCGTCAATTTTCAAGATTTTCATATGTTTATCGATTTACTTGATTTTAATTATTTTTGGAGTTTAAAATTTTCTAATTAGATATGAAAATAGATTTTAAGATAATCTTAAGAATTTTTTACAACAAAATTACATGTTCTGATAAAATTTGGAGGTGCGCTTTAATTGGATTGTTTACTTTTAATATTAAATAATAAAAGAAAAAATTTATATAAGGTTGCAACCATCAAATGTAGAATTACATATGTACCTCAAAAATCCATCGGAAAATGTTATTTTAATTTTAAAAGACCCTCTAATTGATCGTCTCGATATCGAGATATATTAATTTGAAAAAAAAAAAGATTTTGCGTCTCAAAAATAGTGCATCTTGCAACACATTATCTAGACCGTCCATTTTTAAGTTTTTTATATGGTTACTGCTTAATTTTAATCATTTTTTTATTTTAAATTTTATAGTAAGATTTGAAAATAGATTTTCAGATAATCCCAATAATTTTGTATACCAATATTATAGGTTATGATAAAATTTGGAGGTACGCCGTTACATAAACCACACCCTTAAATAAAAAATATGCGATCGGAATCAGATTTTCCACCCGGACACCTTAAATTTCGGGAAATGGTCTTTATGGTACAACTAAAAACGGTCGTCCAAAGTAACACCGTTGAGAGTTTTGCAACTTTTTGTGCCATTTTAAGGTGCAAGATTGCAAGTCTACAGAAGGCCGCCTCCCGATTTGAGTAGCAGATAAGGGAAGGTTTATCTCAATGGCCACCATTCCATCTTCGGCTTTCATATGCAATAATGGAGGGAAAACCCATTTCAAATTCATGAGAAATAGGCCATTAAAGGGCAGTAGGAACTCTGTGATGAAACCCATTTGTGCAAAACAGGGGGTGACCTCTTTGGAGTATAGAAAGCTTGGGGATTCTGACCTTAACATCAGTGAAATTACAATGGGGACGGTTAGTTCTTAGAACTTTTGAATTCTTTTACAAGGAGTATTTTCTTGTGAACAACAGGAATTCTGGTTTTTCTGGGTTTTTTTTTTTTTTCTTGAGTATAGAGTGTTGATTTCGTTTCCGTTAGAAAAAAAATGAATTCTTGATCATTTTCTGGGGTTTCTTTAATGGTGGGTAACATTCATTTATTTATTTTCTTTCTCTTCTTTTACTTTGTAGAGAGATAAATTGAATTCCAACTCTTATCATCGAATTCAGTGATTTCTCTGGTAATAAATTGTAGCTCTTTAGATTTATTTTTTCATTTCTTTATCGCATTGGGAAATTAAATGGAGTGTCGGTCTTCTTCTACTTAAAATAAAAATTGAAAGATGGGTCACTGCCTTGAGTCCTTTTCTGTTAAGAATTTGTTTTTTTTGTTTTTTTTATGGTGGGACAGTTTGAATTTGAGTGTTTTGCTTGTTTATTTGTTTAATTTGTGGTGTACTGCTTCTAAATTATTCTTAGGAATAAAATGAGCTATGAATTTTTTCAAGTACTGTTTAGCCTGAATGGTAAAATTCTATTTACTTTTCTTTTTGTGGGTACTCTTTGTTCCCATTGTGTGCTGGTGAGAAGCAGATTACCTTTATGTTCTTGGTCATGTAATAAGACTAATTCTTCAATTCGTTTTTTAATAACAGTATATTTCTTGCTTCTACTTCCTAAGATATCAGGACTTCCTTTTGTTTTTAGTTTGGCAGTGTGCAATTAAACTGTGTTGTTCTATTTTTGAGCTTTGGGCTCATATTACATTTGTTTTAGCTTCTTCTATTTATCTTAATACAGAAACGATGTTATAGTTTGTTTTTTCCTTATTGGAATTAAGACATGTAGTATTGGGTTTGTGATTATACAATGCAGATGACATTTGGGGAGCAAAACACGGAGAAGGAGGCTCACGAGATGCTTACTTATGCTTTTGACCGTGGTATCAATATCTTAGATACTGCAGAAATGGTAAAGTTATTTTTTACCTATACTGAATCATTCCTCACAAATGTTATTTGCACAATTATGGATCACTTGCGGTCTCTATATAACCTTGTTACTTTATATGTTAGTAGCATGTGCATTCTCAATAAGAAGTTTCTTAGTCCCCCATATAGCCAATCGGCTCTCGCCCGTAGGATAGATTTGCAATGAAATGTATAAAATGATATTTAGAGACATAATTTTTTTAGCAAACTTGATAATTGGTGTCGGATAATTAAGGTTTATTGCCATTTGCGTTTGGCAGTCTTACTTTGTCTTCTTTTTGCACCTAGCTCTTTAAATAATCTTTCAGAGTTAAATAAGAATCTATAGGTAGTCTCTTGCATGAGTTGTAATTTCTCATTGCACTAGTAGTTATTTTGTTTCATTATAATATTCATGCTGAAGTGTCCATAGATAGGTGTATTCTATGAATGATAATGCAGTTTTCATGTTTGTAGTATCCAGTCCCAACAAGGAAGGAAACTCAAGGACGGACTGATCTTTACGTGGGGAGCTGGCTCAAGTCCAAACCCCGCGATAAGGTATCCATGCATATATGCCATGTTAATTCGTATACGCAATATATAGGATGTGAAGGTTGCATGTTTCCCTAGAACACTGAACTTGGGGTATGGCTCACCTCAAAAACCACCTTGAGGGTTTGGGGACTTGGGGGACCTGAAAGACTTCCAAATTATTCTTCAACACTCCAAAAATAGTTCTCTAAAGAAAAATAGATTTGAAGCTCCAAAAATGCCCAAAATCCATTGTCCCCTTGAAATCAGATGTATACGATCCATTTTAATTGTTGGTGGATCCAGGGCTTTTAGAGATATTTTTTAGCTCGAAATCAAATCAAATTGGAAGGATAATGATTTGGAGATGATATGTAAATTTTTTGAGAACTCCCTCACCGTGAGAACTCCTTCAGTGCCACACTTAAGTACATAAATCTTTTGTGTCTGTATATTTATTTCATTTAAGTCTAAAACTTGTAGATAAAGCGATTAGCAATCAGCTTTACTCTTTCTCAGCATTCAAAGTGTCTTGGATTGAGCTTTCATTTATTAATGCTAGGTGATTTTAGCTACAAAAGTCAGTGGTTATGGTGAGCGGTTGACTTATTTGCGTGATAATGCCAAGGTGGTGCGTGTTGATGCTGCTAATATTAAAGACAGTGTAGAGAAAAGTCTTAAGCGCCTCTCTACAGACTACATAGATTTGTTACAAATTCACTGGTATGTTTTCTAAAGCTATATAAATGCACACTTATTTCATCTTAATTGCCTATATTTTTTCTTCTTCATTATACAAACTTCTTGGGATTGCATCAATGACTGGAACGATTTTGGTCCATTTAGAGGGCAACTCTATAACATTGATTCTTGGTGGCAAACTGGAGGCTCTATGGGTTTTTATCATTCATTTCATTTTCTGTGACACATTAGCCATTAACATAAAGAATCTTTTAATAAATAACATATATTCAAAAAAGTTATTTACCAAATAATGCGAACAAGATTAGCAGTTTGCTGGAGAAGCTGAGAATTATATGTGTCTATTGGGCCGTTTCTGCCCTTTGGAATGTCGTATGATGATGATGAGAAAATCAAGTCATGCTTTGTAATGAGTCTGGCCTATTTGCACTCCATCTGTATTTAGGAAGTTGGAAAGAAAAAAATTAGATGGAAGCCATAGCACTAAACTGTGAGACGAGAAGAGGGTATATTATAATTCATTTCCTAATCTTTTCCTGGGAACATTGTTCCAAATCTAGGATGTTTGTTAATATAACAACTCTTGACACACCAACTTCTGATCATTTTATCTTTACAACTCCAGGTTATTTGTGGAAGTGACACAATGGTAAGGCCTGAAAAGTTTCCATTAGACATCCTGCCTACAGTATCTTTGTCCTTGGGTGAATGTACTTACTTACCTAGGCATCATCTCGATCCTCTATCTGTGCTAGTTTAAGCTAAAATAGGCATACATATTATGAAATTTTTACATCCAATTTTAACAGCATTGACAAAACATGTACATCTCCCAGTGCTTGTTCTTCCCCATCTCATGAACTTATTATTTGATCTTTCATCTCAAAATTCATACGTTTGTCTACATTTATTTGGTGGGCGGGGTATTTGATATATAGTTTGATGCAGGCCAGACCGTTATGTTGCCCTATTTGGTGAATTTACTTTCAATTTTTTAAAGTGGAGACCAGGTGTGCCATTTGTTGAGCAACTCCAAGCCTTTCAGGAACTCATTGAAGAAGGAAAGGTGTTTCTTAGTAATCATATTGTAACCCTGTTTTATTTGAAAAGTGAATTTTGACTTTTGCATTGATAAATTGTTGCATTTGAGGTCTTTGGTTTCATAAAAAGAATGAAAACTGAGAAATACCAATAATGAAATGGATTAGATGTCATCAATATAACTGAATTGATGTGCAACATTTTCGAAAGTGAAGGCTCAGAATATCATTTGAGTATTCTTGAAATTGAGATTTTTATGGGAGATTTGTGATTTTGACTATCTCAAAATCTAGGAATCAGTTTAGCTTCATCAGATGCACATCTCAGTTTCTTATGAAACCCAAGTGGGCTTCTTAACTGCAACTATGAAATGACCATGAGCTAAATATTTCTCATGCAGCTAGCTGGCACAAATTCACCAAACCTCGTGCCTGATATTAAGGATTTCTTTCAATAAGTTTAACCAAGGAGTTGCAAATGACTGATTCTATGAATTATTTTCTAATCTGTAGCCACTCAAGAAGCTCTATTGTTGCTGGTTTGAACACTATTTCATGGGGTTCTCTTTCGTGTTCTTTGGCAAATAACTTGATGGATACATTACAGGTACGCTACATAGGTGTCTCCAATGAAACATCTTACGGCGTTATGGAGTTTGTTCATGCTTCAAAGATTGAAGGACTTCCAAAAATTGTCAGCATTCAAAACAGCTACAGTCTCTTGGCCAGATGTCGCTTTGAAGGTAATAGGATTTGTTATGGTTCCTTTCCTTGATATTGAATTGTCCAGGAATTTGTGTTTTCCAATATTTTTCTGGGTGAACCAAATTAGTGCTATTTGAACTTCTTTTTCTTGGGGATACCATATTAGTTGAATTCTTGGTACCATTATTTTCACATATGATACTTTTCAGAAGCACTGTCAAAATCAGAAGTTGTTGATTCATTTCCCAGTATATCATCATCAGAATGTGATAAACTGATGACCATCCATCGTTTGCTCTGATGCAGTTTTTTCTTTTTTCTAATTAGTTATGTCCTATTTTTCTTAGGAAGTCATCTTATTCACCACCTTAAGAAATTGCTAACCCTAATTGGTTTTGTGCAAAATTTCAGTTGATTTGGTTGAAGTATGCCACCCAAAGAACTGCAACATTGGCTTGCTTGCATATTCTCCACTTGGTGGTGGATCACTAAGTGGAAAATATTTGGATCTAAATTCTGAAATTGCAACGAAAGGAAGGCTGAACCTCTTTCCAGGTTACATGGAACGATACAGCAAATCCATTGCAAAGGTATGACCCTTAATCTGAAAAGTGAAATGGAATTTATTGTTGAACAGTTGTACTGGGAGACAAATTTATAAAATTCCACTGGTTTTAACGTTTTAGTGTATTAGGTACTCTTTTTTTTTACTGCATCAAGTGCAGTGAGTCTTCTGTTTTAGCCTTTGAGGGAGGGAGGAGCGCGGGGTAAGTGAGGGAGGTTGATCTTCAGGCAGCTACCAAACTATATGTCCAGTACTCCATTTAGCTAAGAATCATGACTTAACTCCAGTTGAATTATTACTTGGATCTGTAAGAATCCAAACTTTAGAGGATTTCAGTAAAACCGACCTGATCTTTGAGTCCCAACTTACAGAATTGCACCTCTCAAGGAATTCAGTAAAACTGACCTGTTCTTTTAATATTTTTTAGAACTCCCTTACAAATGAACATCTACTACAGCATTGGTTTTCTCTCTACACTTCTGTGGAACTAATGGACAGGGAATTTCATAATCAAAGTTCTCTTCTACCAATTTCGTCTTGTGTCTATATCTCTTTTTTGGCTAAAGCAATATGTTTTCATTTTCAGGAAGCTACTGAACTATATGTCCAGTTAGCTAAGAAACATGGCCTAACTCCAGTTGAATTAGCACTTGGATTTGTTAGAGACCAACCTTTTGTTACCAGCTCAATCATTGGTGCAACGTCTCTCGAGCAGTTGAAGGAAGACATTGATGCTTTCATGATAACAGGCCCGTTGCCCCCAGATGTTGTAGCAGGAATTGCAGAAATCTATAGTAGATATAGAGACCCAGCAACTTTTTAATCTGATCTCTCTCTCTCTCTCTCTCTCTCTCTCTCTCTCTCTCTCTCTCTCTCTCTCTCTCTCTCTCTCTCTCTCTCTCTCTCTCTCTCTCTCTCTCTCTCTCGGTTACACCTAAAAAATTTGGAGTCCTGAAAGTACTCAGGATTACGGTTTTGCCAGAGGAAAGAAATGTACATTTTCTTCTGATAAGAGCGTATATTGTTTTTCGATTCTTATTATTATCGTAGAGCTTGTTTAACCAAGGAAAAGAAGGTTTCAGCAAGCTTATATTATCTAATGGGATTCCCCGTCAGTGCCCACTGACTAACTGATGCAGGAAATTTCTGCAAAATATCTCGAAAAAACCAAAATAATGGAGGAATATAGAATGCTAAGTTGAAAGGGAAAAACAAATACTTGTATTTAATTTTGGGTGTGGTTCTATAAGGTTGCAACCTTAAACAATCCAATTAAGGTGCACCTCCAAATTTCGTCATAACATGTAAATTTGGTGTAAAAAATTCGTAGGATTATCTGAAAATCTATTTTTTTTATCTAATTATAAAATTTTAAACTTGAAAAATGGTTAAAATCAGATAGATATAAATTATATGAAAGTCTTTAAAATGGACGGTCTAAATAATGTGTTGCAAGATGCACTATTTATGGGATGAAATAATCAATTAGAGGTTTTTTCAATATTAAACAATTTTTTCTGATGGATTTTTGAGGTGCATCTATAATTCTACATTTTAAGTTTGCAACCGCATATAAACTGTTCCTTTAATTTTTCAAGGTGTCTCCACACAAAAGTGATAAAAGAAGCACCAAAAAACTCGAGCTGACAAAATCCATGTGCCTTCAGATATATGTAGACTCATCTTTGAGAACTTAAAATTATAAAAATACTTGAAATCCCTAGTACTTTTCTCTTCTCTTTGTCTTAATAATTTCGATTTAATATCCCATTTTCCCTGTTACATGTCTAGCCTTTTATGGGGCACTTCCCAATTATCATGTAAATATAAATTTAGCAAATAAAAGAAGCAAATTAAGCTTCCACTAAAAGCTATTATTAGTTCCTTTCCAGTGAGCCGTAAATTAGAAACTAAAATAAATCTGAAGCAACTCAACATGAATAATAAAAATTAGTGACTACTAAAGGAAGGCATCACTAACTAGAAACTGGTAAAGGAGGCTATTTTCCTAATCTTCCTAGCATCACTAATTAGAAACTACTAAGAGATTAGACTGCTAAAATAAGCCCTGGTTACCATATATGATGTAGAATCTCCAAAAACTGGGGCATGGTCACAAAATGTGGCCCAGCGGCCTCGCCGAAGCCCGATCCGGGCCAGCCTTATACTAAAATGTGAACCTGGGCTGGCCCGGCCCCTGCCCATTGCAAGCCCTAGTTGTGTCCACTTGCCCCTAGCCCTTCTAGGCTTTATCTACTTCGTTTATTTTTCTTTGTAACTTGAGTCATGTTGAAATTTACAATTCAAAGCAATATTTCCTGTTTATCCAAAGCTCCTGAGGGCAAAACCAATTGTTAGCCAATTTGTTCCGCGGTGCTTGATGCACCTGCATAAGTTTCATGACGAATTGCCCTGCTATACTCTCATGAACACCAAAGAAGTGGTGCTTTATGCCACCCATTCAGCCATGATAGACCATGCAATCAACTATTTATCCTCCAGCAGCTGTACACAAACTTAATTTCAGAAAAGGAGCAGATGGTTCACAGTTCTTCACATCTTGCCATTGTAATGATGAACACTGTCACACAAATATTGTGCATCGTGTGTATTTAATGGAGAAAACTTACTGTTCGTGAAACTTTGTGGTAAAAATCCATTGTTCTCTGCTAATTTACTGACTACAACAGGCCAGAAATAAAATTACTCTATATTTTCTTGTTAATACAGAAAGCTTCCCATGTTTCAATTCATGATTTCACAAGAGAAATTAGTTCTTGACCGTCCAGAGCTTACTAGTGTTGTCTTTTGGAGTTCAAAATAAGGGAACATCTAATGGCCAAGATGCCCGAGGCGCCATCAGCTGCCACTGCAGCCGAGTCGGCTCTCTTTACCTCCATAACAATCTGACTTCATGCAAGTTAGCTAAGGCATTCTGATTTCTATCAAGAATGAGATCTCAGCTCTACACTTTCTAACCAGATCGAGGATGAAACTCCTCTTTCTGGGGCCATCTAGGCCCTTGACATTCCAGGAAGCTATCTTCATGATAATTGCATTGGGGCGACAAGTCCCTTACAATTATTAGTATCTTCAGGCCATGTTTTGGGATTCTCTATGCCCCTATACTGCTTTGTATGACTGAAAATTGTCAGTTGTTCGCTACCCGTTCCCCTTGGCCAATCTGGGTTGGTGCAGATTCTATTTAATTCATCCATCACAACATGAATCGATGCAAAGTTCAGAAAATCGACTCGGCCAAAGTACTCGGGCCAGTCTACCCGTTCCCCTTGGCTAGTCTTTAAAAGTGATGTTTTTATCATGTAAAAAAAAGTGACAGATATTTGACGTAGTAATATAATTTAGCTTTAAAAACATGTTGTACAACCTACTCTCCCAAAATTCACTTGGCGAGGCCGAATTACTCGGCCAAATCTGAGTGGCCTCGGCCGAGTCTCATAACACTGGATCGGCGTGACATGGAGTTGGGCATTAAAGTGGGACTCTCCTTCTGTCTCCTAAATACAGAGTCAGGCTGGGTATAGGAGTGAGCCCCAGCTTACTACGAACTTCATCGGCATACTGAACCTAGGATGCCCCAGCATGGATACAACATCGACATCTTTCATGACCTCAACCAGTTCAATGAAGACCGTGACAAGATGGTCAAGTTCAAATGCAGGAAGGGAGTCCTCAAGATTAGCTTCAATCACCCCTCCAATCTCTCACGATCAAAACATGGCAAACTATGAGAGGCCAGGCTAAGTGTTCTTTAGTTAGCACAGCACCGCCCAAATAGAAACAGGGATCAAGGTTAGGGCCAAAAAGATCTTTTTCACAAAGAATCTTTAAATCAATCATCTCAACCTCAAGATGTATGAACGTTAGAAAATTTGGAATTTAAGCCTTGAAAATAGTGCATCTTGTAATACATTTTGTGGACCGTCAATTTTCAAGATTATCAAGTGTTCATAGATTTGCTTGATCTACGCTATTTTTTATTCTTCAAATTTTATAATTAAAGATGAAAATAATTCCAGGCCATCACAAAGATTTTCAGCACTGAATTAACGTCTTTCGATATTATTTCAAGGTATGCCTTACCTTGAATGTTTAGGGCCTCAGCCTTATACAAACCACACCCATAGAAAAATATAAGGACTTGTTTGGTACATGGATTTTAAGGCATTTTTAGAGAGAAACTATCTCAAATTTTAACTTTTAGAGAGAGAAAATATATCAAAATTTTATAGAGAGAAAATATGTTGAAATTTTAAAGAGAAAAAGTATCAATTTTTTTTAGAGAGATGAACTATCTCAAAATTTTAGAGAGAGAAGCTATCTCAAATTTTAATAGAGGAAGTATGTTAAAATGTTAAAGAGAGAAAGTACCAAATTTTTTAGAGAGATGAACTATCTCAAAATTTTAGAGAGAGAAACTATCTCAAATTTTAATTTTTAGAAAGAGAAAGTATGTTAAAATTTTAGAGAGAGAAAGTACCAAAATTTTTAAATAGATGAACTATCTCAAAATGTTAGAGAGAGAAACTATCTCAAATTTTAACATTTGGAGAGAGAAAGTATGTTATAATTTTAGAGAGAGAGTATCAAAATTTGTTAGAGAGAGTACCAAAAATTTTTAGAGGGAGAAACTATTTCAAAATTTTAGAGAGAGAAACTATCTCGAATTTTAAGTTTTAGAGAGAAACTTTCATATTTAAAAAAGAGAAAGTACATGCAAATTTTTAGAGAGAAATTATCTCAATTTTTAAAGAGAGAAACTATTTCAAAAGTTTTACAGAGAGAAACAATCTCATATTTTAATTTTTAGGGAGAGAAACTATATCAAATCTTAACTTTTAGAGAGAGAGAGTATTTTTAAAATTGTAGAGAGAGAAAGTATTCTTAAACTTTTAGAGAGAAATTATTATAAATTCTAAAAAGAGAAACTGCCGAAAATATTTAGAGAGAGAAATATCTCGTTTTTTAGAGTGAGAAACTATCTCAAATTTTGAGTCTTAGAGAGAAGCTATATCGAATTTGGAATTTTAGCAAGAGAAAATGTAAAATTGTAAAGATAAAAATTATATCAAAATTTAGAGAGTGAAACTACCTAAACATTTTTAGAGATAGAAACTATCTCAAACTTTTTGGAGAGAGAAACTGTCACAAATTGATGTTTTAGAGAGAGAGTATCTTAAAATTTTGGAAAGAAACTATATCAAATTTTAGATAAAAAAAGTACATGAAATTTTTAGATAGAGAAACTATCTCAAAACAATTTAGAGATAAACTATCAAAATTAATATTTTAGAGAGAGAGTATCTCAAATTTTTAAACTTTAGATAGAGAAAGTATATCAAATTTTAGAGAAACACTATATCAAATTTTCAATAGAGAAACTATTTCAAAAATTTAGAGAGAGATACTATCTCAAACTTGAAGTTTTCGAGAGAGAAAGCATTAAAAAAAATGTTAGAGAGAGAAAGTACATAAATTTTTTTAGAAAAAAAAACTATCGCAAAATATTTAGAGAAAAATTATCTCAAATTTTAACTTTTAGAAAGAGAAAGTATCTTAAGATTTGAGAGAATAACTATATTATATTTTAGAGAGTGAAAATACTTAAAAATGTTTAGAGCGAAACTATCTCAAACTTATTGAACAGGGGAACTATCTCAAGTTTTAAGTTTTAGAGAAAGAGAGCATCTCAAAATTTTAGAAAGAGAAACTATATTAAATTTTAGAGAGAGAAATTATCTCAAATTTTTTAGATTGACAATTTGAAATTTAAAATTTTGGATAGAAAGTATATTAAATTTTAGGGAGAGAAACCTTATCAAATTTTAGAAAGAGAAACTATCTCAAATTTTTTATAGATATACTCTATCCAAAATTTTGAGTTTTAGAGAGAGAAAATATATAAAATTTTAGAGAGAGAAATTGTATCAAATTTTGTTACCAAATAATGGACATGGAAATGATTGCAAGGAATCCATGAATATTGTATAGTTTATCAAAACAAGAGATTTGATGAA